CAAAAAAACACAACAAAATCCTTACCCTTACCAGTACACATTCTAGTGGGAGAGATATACAATAAGGAACATGCATAATAAATAAGTAAATTAAACAGTATGTTAGAAAATAAGTGCTACAGGGAAAAAATAGATAAAGGTAAAAAAAAAACTGTGGGGGGGGGTGGGTTGCATTTTTAAGGTGGTCAGGCCAGGCCTCACTGAAAATGACAACTGGGCAAAGCTGTGAAAGAAAGAGTAAACCAGAAGTTTATCTGGAGGGACTGTTGCAGTCCCAACCCTACCCACAAAAAGTAGCTACAAAGGCTGAAGCAGGAATGTACCCGTCGTATTCAAAAACCAGAAAGGATTCTGCTGAAGAAGAATGAGCAGGAGGGAAGAGTAGTAGGAAATGAGCTCAGAGAGGTCAGAGGTGGTGGCAGGGTAACGGCAGGTAAACACTATAGGGTGCTGTAAGCCACTGAAAGAACTTTTTCTGATGGAATGCAGAGCCTTCTGCGTTATTCAAAATAGTCGAAAGTGGAAGCAACCCAAGTGGATAAATGAATAAACAAAATGTGGCATATACATACAATGGAATATTATTATTCAGCCTTAAAAGGAATGAAATTCTGCTACATGCCACAACGTGAATGAACCTGAAGACACGATGCTAAGTGAGATATGCCAGACACAAAAGGACAAATGTTATGATTCCATTCACATGAGGTACCCAGAATAGGCAAATTCAGTGAGACAGAAAGTAGAACAGAGGTTACCAGGGACTAAGGGGTGGGGAGAAACGAGTTACTGTTTAATGGGTACAGAGTTTCTCTTTGCTGTGATGAAAAAGTTCTGAAGATAGAGGTGATGGTTGCACAACACACTAAATGTACTTAATGCCACTGAACTGTATACTTCAAAATAGTTAAAATGGTAAATTTTATGTTGTATATTAGAGAATGAGCTATTCTGAATGACTTTTCCAGATATTTGTCTTTTTTTCTGAGAAATTATTTTAAAGAGTTATTTTGATGGACTTCTTCTCAATACATATTTCTTTTTCCTATAAAATTGAATATAGTGAATATTCCTAGTAATACATTATATATAATAATTGTACTCTACTATAAAAGTGTTTCCCCTAGGAGCACCTTCAAGTCCAGAGAATGATTAATTAAATGGTTCCCTAGCACTCTGATTTATTTAGGTAATGTTAGCCATATGTACTGCTCTCTGCACCTAACTGCTTACTGGGGCTTTCACTGATATCCAATACCCCTCCACATTACTTGGTGCAACATGCCGGGAAACCTCAAAACCAAGTTTGTAATGATGTGTATAAATAGTAACTAGAGTTACTGAAATCCTTAGGTACTCTTCTATGCACAAATGTCTGAGACTCAGCATTAACTTTTCTTTACTCCGTGGCTTTTGATAATGTTGGACAAAACTTCCAATTATGACATCAGCCATGGTAAGCCAGTGATAATTTTTCCAAATTAAAGATTTGTAAAAACATGTATTTTTTTTTCTGGGTTGAATTAAGACTAAAAGCCAAGGGTTCCTTTCACTGAAAACCAGTTATTAAGTTCTTAATAACACTCTATTTTTCAATTTTTTAAATATAAATTTATTTTATTTATTTTTGGTTACGTTGGGTCTTCATTGCTGCGCACAGGCTTTCTTTGGTTGTGGTGAGTGGGGGCTACTCTTTGTTGCAGTGTGCTTCTCATTGTGGTGGCTTCTCTTGTTGCAGAGCATGGGCTCTAGGGACAGGCTTCAGTAGCTGTGGAGCACGGGCTTAGCTGCTCCACGGCATGTGGGATCTTCCTGGACCAGGGCTGGAACCAGTGTCCCCTGCACTGGCAGGCGGATTCTTAACCACTGAACCACAAGGGAAGTCCCAACAACACTCTATTATTGAGGATCCTGGATTGCTTTACTGGGGCAACGAATGCTTTGAACCACCATATCATTACCAATAAAAGTATTCCCCCAGAAATATCACTTCTTGATAAATCCTACTTCCTATGAATTTACTATAATAAAACATCAAAATATTCTACACATAAATATGATTTAAATGAAAGAGAGATTACATGAAAGTATGCTGTTTACGAAGATTTACTTAGGCTTCTTTAAACATTAAAATATGCTCGCTTACTGAAAAGGTAAAAATTTTAGTAAGTTACAAAGTACTGTTTTAATGCCCACATTATAACCTACAAGTAGTTATTTCTTAGGGTTTCTCCAGTCTATATAAATATGCCATTGCTGAGGGAGTTTATAAAGGAATAAGATATAAAATCTCCTATCTCAAAGAAGCTTACATTATTTGATTATTAGGTAACCCAAAAGGCACACTGATCATAAAGTAGGACACATTAATTTGTGATGGCCAAGTCTCAGTTTTATCATGCCTCTTTGCAGGAGAAAGGAATCTTTATTTCCAAGTAAGCCAGATGGATAGAAAACAATCAGATGTTACAAAGAAGTGATGGATGTTTGTTGAATTAAAAAACAAAATAAAACAATGTTAAAAAAATGATAGAAAGACAAAATAAATGAGAAAAAGCCAAGTCTAACTTAGAATACCCTAAGTCAGAAAGAGACAGAAGAGGAATTTATAACAGTGGACCAAAAGTACAGAAGTCAAAGAAACAGCTCCAAGTGGAGGAGAAAACAATACAAGAATCACAGAATAGACAACAGTGATATGGAACATGGTCACAGAGTAAAAAAACTTAAACAAGCAGGGGTGTAACTGATAACTAAAATAAAACTTTCCAAAATGAAACCAAAATAAGAGCAAAAAACTTAGGTCCTTTCTGAGACTAAAAGTGAAGTTATCAGTACTGGCCAGAAGTATACTAAAATTCAAACATAGAGGCTTTAAAGGGAAGGGCGGCTTTGGACTAAGATGAAAGGGACAGCATTAGTGTGGTAACACTGTGACAAAGTGAGCATATCACAGACCATAATCATGATCTATTTATTCCACGTGGCTGTACACACAGATCCCAAATCTCTCCTCACTAGGCTCAAACCATGTGTGCATCTGTATTGTTGGCGTATTCTATGTCTGTGTAAAGACACAAGTGAGGGAAAGTAGGAGAAAGGGCTACGAGGATTCTTCAATGGAGAAATCTCATGGCCCTTTTTACTCTTGGGTAGTGACAATAAAAGGGTTACTGGAAATCTATCAAAGATGGAGTTTTGAGCTGTTTTATTCCTGAAATCAAGCCCTGTAGGTGGCCACCTACTTTGCCAAGGGAGCAAAGCAGCACCTAGAGCTGTAGCTCTGACTGCAGCACCTGGAGCTAAATGAGAAAACACTTCTGTAATACTTGTGCCATTAAATATTTACCAAATATATTCACATTTTCTGTACTTCCCTTTTTGTTTCCTGGGTTTAAAATAAACATGACAATATATAACACTCATTGTTGAATAAGTCCAAAGTACTTTGCATAACCAACACTTTTCATTTTTACAGTTCCTTAAAAAGAAAGTGGAGACGTACATAATAAATATACATGACTAAGAGTAGAAAAACTGAAGACTTACCTATAATTATAACACTTTGAAAACAAATCCAGTAATTATACTCCTTATTTTATGAACTATCAGACAACATTCCTTCAATAACAGCAGTTGAAGAGAATCTCCATATACAACACAAATTACAGAGGACCATAAACATAAGCATGTAGAGAATTCTAGAGTTGTGCTGTCCAATACAATAGCCACTAGTCACATGGCTATTTAAGGTCAAATTCATTAAAATTAAGTAAAATCTAAAATTCAGTTCCTCAACTGTACTAGCCGTATTTCAAGAATACAATATCCACATGTGGCTACTATACTGGACAATGCAGATATAGAACATTTCCATCATGGCAGAAAGTGCTATTGGACAGTGTTATTCTAGAGTAACGGTATCTGGAACTGGAGAGACAGCCCACATGATAGCCATCTGTTACTAATCTCCAAGATTTTCAGATGTGAACTACTCGTAAAGTCACAATAGACACATAACCTAAATAGTAACCCTTAGGTCTGCAAGAGTCTTATAAAATCATACAATAACAATAATTCTCATCTTTTGCTTTTTCTTTTTCATTTGGCCTGCCATATTCCCATTTGGTTAACAGACTATATTGATCAGCACCACAATTCACTTGGCTCGAGATGTTATGTGTCTTGGGTGAGTGGCAATCTGCAGCGCTATTGTGCTGCTCTTCCACTGTTTCCATCAGTAATATGAAAGTCTGTGTTTTGTTTTTATAGGTACAGATCCTCCTATACCATCAAAATACTACCAAATGGTAAATTATTTTAATTTAAAGAGACTAATGTTATATTTGCATGTTTAAATATTCATCTTACATCGGAGATTCCAATTATCTATATCTTCTATGGCTTTCTTCAGATGGACTTTATTTGCAAAAGATTTTTGATAGTAGTATTTGAAACTTTAAAGTCCTGTCAAATAAGAAAAATAAATTTCTATTTCAAAGACTTACTTTTTATTTTTTTCTTCCAGTTTTATTGAGATATCATTGACATGCAACACTGTCTAAGTTTAAGGTGTACAGCATAATGATTTGACTTCCATACACCATGAAATGATTATCACAGTAAGTTTAGTGAACATCCATCATCTCATACAGATACAAAATTAGAGAAATAGAAAAAGAATTTGTGTGTGTGATGAGAACTCCTAGGGTTTACTCTCTTAACAACTTTTCTGTATGATATACAGCAGTGTTTTTATATTGGTCATGTTGTACATTACATCCCTGGTACTTATTTATCTTATAACTGGAAATGTACAGTACCTTATGACTACCTTAATCGAAGGCAGTCCTCCTTTATAAAGACTTACTTTTTAAAGCAATTTTGTGGGTTCAGAAACTAAGTGAAGCCTTAAAATTATGTTAAATATTCAGACAACAGTTCTTCATTTCACATTTTGAAGATGATTTAAGCTTTTATATAACCATGTAAAAACTTACTTCAAAATTAAGGTCTCGAATCAAGATATCTCCATTTGGCGTTGCTAAAGGAACATGATCAAATCTATAGAGGAAATTAATAAAAAGAGAATAATTTTACATTAAACACTAAGCAGATGTAGCTGAAAGAGAAAGGCTACTGTGTAGTTTAACAGATATTTATGGTGCTAAAGAACCCTTTTCTGTACGTACTTTATAATGTTATCTGCATTGATGATTTCTCCAACACCAGGTATCAAGGGAATGCCTTGTGCTCCTTCAATACATTAAATGGAAAAATCAGTATTAAAGCATCATGGCATGTCAGCAAAAACTTATAATAGGTGACCTAGTGCATTCATATTTACCTTTTTCCTGTTGTGAGACCATGGTGCGTTCATATTTGCCCTGATTTAAATCCTTTAGTACTTGCATTAATTCTGTAATCCGAGCAGTAAAGCTGAAGAAAAAGAGAAGTCATAATCAAAACTCCAAAGGCTATATATTTAATTTTTATTATTTATTTGAATATAATTGACATAACATTAAGTTCATATTTTTTACTTTATACAAATCTAACTGAAGTTTCTAAACTTATCATTTACTTTAAATGAGATAACTTAAAAGACATCTCATCAACATAAAGTATTAGTACACGTTTTATTATTATGCTTCAATAGGAGAGCAGGAACACGCGGCTAAGAAAAGAGGTCTCATAGGGTCCCACCTCAACAGATACTTCATTAATAGGCAAATCAAGAAGGTTCTCTGCCACTAGAATTTTAAGGAATTTTCTAGTAAATACTATAAAAGGACTAATGCTAGTGCATTCCTTAGGTCCAGGAAGCATGGACCCTGAGTTCCTGCTGGAGCGAGTTATAAAGCCTTGGATAAAGTTGGTTTTTCTCTCTGAGGACATCATTTATTTTAAGTATGCCAAAAGCACACTACTTCCCTGCAAACATGGGAGAATTTGGAGGATTCCTCTCTTTCTTCCTCTGAAGAGGGAAAAAAGATGGAAGTGTTCTTAATATTAGAGAGAAATCACTGTGGTGATAGAAATCAAAACTAATGACAAGAAGTTGAGGAGGAGAAGAATGATATGATGGTCGAAGAGAAAGCACTCTAACCAGAGAAGCAAACAGGATCATTCTGTGAATAACAAGCAGAAACTTCCTAAAGGAACAGAAGCATCCCATATGCTAGGAGCTGTAAAGGCATGAGAAAGTTATTAACAAGTAGGGAGAATGTCAGCATTCTCAAGAGAGAGACTCATAGTAGTTTATAACTTCTTATAACTATCTTGCCGTGAAGACCTTAACTGCCAAAGGAGTAGAGAAGAAGGAACAGAGGAAACAGGCAGACTAATCACAGGCCTGGGAAAGATCCAAAGACATCTAATTTCTTCAGATGACCTGAAACTTACGGTGCTTTTTTTTAACATTATAGTTTTTTTGACACCATACCAAGCCCTTTATATTAGACCCTGAAATTTTGAAATATTTAACTCCATTTGATGGTCTAAGAACAATTTTACTAGACACCCCGACCATATTTACAACTGGACCTACAGCTACCATAAGGTAACTTTTCACTTTTTTCATTAAAATCAACTTCATCCTTGTTTATCTTTTGCTGAGTTGCCAGGTATCAAAGACCTAAGGAAAAAAAAGTCTGGTAGGGGACAAAAAAGTTCAAACGAGAAAATTCTATTCACTAACTTAATTTTCTGTGAATCAAGGAAAGACTGCCCCAATTCGACATTTCCCAGCTTACTGAATACCAGTGTCCACAGAACAGACAGCTTGAGAACAACTAACCTAGTTTAAGGCTCCAAACAGCTATCTTAAGGAAACATGGAAAGTTCACTATCAAAGAAAAATCTTCCTAATTTTCTATCAAAACCAGCTTGCAAGAGCAAGAAATACGGGGCTTCACTGCCCCTTATCTCAAGCTCAACTGGGCACAATCATTAAGGATAACATATTTGAAAAAAATTATTCTCTGCAATTGCTCATTATTACTAATCTTACTTACCCAGCCAATCTTGTCATTTCACGGCCAGCCAAAACTATTCGACCCAGAGCTTGAGACATTCGCAAAAGCATTCTTCCACTTTGGTAGTAATCCTGACATAGAAATAAATATTAGTTTTCACTTACATCTCTAAGATTAAAACTAGCTTTTCTTTATTGTTATATTTAAAATTTCAATTGAGTATGACTACTACTACCACTTTACCTCCAGAAGTTCTGAATGTGAGCTTTTGAGATGTCGAGGATGAGACAAATCTAGGAAAGGACGACTGACAACTACGTAACCAACCACAGTGGCAAAATCTGAAACAAAACAGTTAAAAACATCAACAATACTTCACTTTTCCCACAAATTCCATTCCACTACCTCTTTTAAAGCATACTTACATTTGGCAATTATGCTATCAATGAAGCCCATAGAAAACCGAAACAAAATGAAATTATGTAGGTGCTCCACCTGGCAGAAAGCAAAAACAAAAAATATATATACTTTCTGTATATTAAAAAAATGAATCTATCATGAGGACAAAAGAAACTAAATAATTTTTGTATTCAACAAGTATTAGCTGAGTGCCTGTGATGTCTGATTACATTATACATCACATTTCATTGAGCGCAATGCTGATCACAGAACAGGTGCCAAACAAATACTTCATGAAACCATTTTTATGCAAACAGAATGTAAACTACTTAAAGAATATCATTGTGGTGTCCCTTGCATGTAACAGTACAATGATACTGTATTCATAATATTGTCAGATACATACTTGTTAAAACTGATCAATAATCAAAAGAAAAAGAACAGAAAGATGAGCTAATTTAGGTGAAACACCAGCTGTCTGGAAATAGCACTCAATGCTTTGCCTTAGTTGGAAACCTCCGGTCTGTGCTTTCTCTAAGAATTATATTACACTCAATTTGAACCAAGCGCTAATGATGCTGCACAGCCCGAGTCTGTAGCTTTAATCTCAGCATGCATTATCTCAAAATTACAAGTCTAAAAATGTATTTTATTCTGCATTTTTAATGTTCTTGACTTTTCCGTCTATCATTTTACTCAAGGTCCTGCATGATCCGGCACTGGTCTCTATCTTAAACCTCATCTGCTTCTACTTTGCTCTTTCTCACTGAGCTCCAGAAATATTGGTTCCTCAAACATGCTTCTGCCTTAAGGCTTTCCTCCTGCTGTTCCCTCTGCCAGGATTACTGTGTTCCTAGATATTTATATTCTGTGACTAACTCCCTTAATTCACATGGGTTTCTGATAAAATGCCACCTCTTTAAGAAAGACCTTCTTGCCATCCCCTACCTAAAATAGCTAGGCAACAGCCCCCATCATACTCTACCACTTTATTCCATTTTATTTTTGGCCACAAAATTCACTACAACCTGAAATCATATATTGTAAAATATCCAGTTGTTTACTTGTTTATTGTCTCCCCCACTAAAGTGTGGATTTCCTGAGTACAGGGTAGCTTGCTCTTAATATCTTCTGTAAAAGAACAATGGCTGGAACATGTATTCAATGAATGACAGAGGTTACATACCAAGCTCAATGCTGAAGATACAACAATGAATAAAGCAGACAAGGTCCCTGAGCTCATGGAATTCACATACTAATGAAAGAGACAAACTAGTAAAAACAAAATAATTATAAATCACAATGTATGCTTTTAAGGAAACAGATCATTAAAATGGGAAAATAACTGGTGGAGGCCATCAGAGAAGACAAGGCCTCAAAAAGGTGTTAACTTTTGGGCTGAAATCTAAAGGATAAGCATGGGCAAGCCATGTGAAGAGCGAACTAGTTAACAGCAGTCCCCTAGAACATTACCTTAAATGCATTTTATCAGTGAATACTATCAAAGTTCAGTCATGTTAAATATAAAAAAGGCAAAAATTCAATTTCTGAAATAATTTAAAATAACTTCTTTAACCTTTAAAAATCACCTCAGATATGTATTTAATTTCAAAAACTTCCACTAAAATGTAAGCTCCTTAAAGGGAGGATGTGGCCCATCACACACACCGTTATCACACTAATCACCTGGACAAGCACAGACACCTAGATGGTGCTCCGTATCTTTTGAATGAATAATCAATACAATTAATTAAATTCAAAACTTCCAAGCAGCAAGTAAATAAAAACCAAGGTATAGTTTTCATAAGAAACAACGTTTATATTCTAAATCAAGGGTCAGCAAACTATGGCCCACAGTTCAAATCCAGCCTGTCACTTATTTTTGTAAATAAAGTTTTATTAGAACATAGCCACATCCATTCATTTACATATAGAATATGGCTACTCTTGAGTGGCAGAGTTGAACAGTTGCAGCAGAGACCATATGGCCTGAAAAGCCTTAACTATACATGTATTATCTTGCCCATTACAGAAAATGTTTGCTGAACTGTGCTCACAGTATTTCCATGAGTGCTACAGGAACAAATTCCTTCTGTAATAATTTATCACTAAATAAGACTCCTAAGTAACTGCTTTACAAGTACAGACAATTATTTTAATAAAACCTACCCATTTTTATAGTTGGGCAGCTTAATACATTGATTTGATAGTTTTTAGGAAAACACAGTATAAAAATTCTTCATAGTTAGTTATTTAAAAAATAAATATTTTAAAGATTAAAGGTATATGTATGTATCTCGGCAAAGGCCCCCAATTTTTTCTTCCATAAACACACGAGCCTCCATACATGTTATCTTACCAGTTTTCGGAAGACTGAGTGGATTGTCTGCTTTTCTCTTTTATTTCCATTGTAAAAGGCAATTTCTTCACTATTAAAGAAAATAATTTAGCAATTAATTTTAATGTTACCTAAGCCTGAAAAATAACTGAAATACCGTATTTAATGACAGAATATTTGTATATAACTGGACATTTTGTGACTATGAGCTTATTGGGTACATCTCAAGCCACTATCTGTACCTAGCTCAACTGATCAGAGCACAGGGATACGCACCTGACTGGATCACAGACTGCACTACCGACATATGTTGCACATGCCACATATAGCCTGGCTGGAAAAGATATGCTGGGTTAATTCTCAGAAATGTGAATAAAGAAGTAAGAAATATAATAAGAAATAAGAAGTAAGAAGGAAATTGCCATGACATATAGGAAGGCAGGACTAGGGCAGCCATTACTACAAACTGAGTACAGATCTAACCAGAAGGGAGAGGAGAAAACAACAGTTAGAAAAAAAATAAGGTAGTGATGCCATGACATGCAGCCTTTAAAAGACAGAAAAGCAAACTAAGTCCTGCCCGCCTCACAGTGCCAGCTCCCAGGAGGCCTAGCTGAACAGTTGTTCTTATTCTCGGAACCCCAGCATAGCCTCGCAACTCCTCTTTCTTTGAGCTGATTTGAATGGGTACACAGGGGCCACACGGATCTTAACTAGGAAAAAAGGGTCAGTTTATGGATGAAAAAAGGTTAAATATAGTTAACTAAATTTGCAGAAGTCATGGAGCTGGCAGGTCAAATAGCTGAAATTATAACTCGTATCTGACACTAAAGTCTAGTTTTCCACTCTATTCAGTATAATGTAAACTCTCCCAGCAAAGTACCTCTTACAGCAGAGGAAAGTAAAGATTTACATAGGCATCTAGAAGGCACAGTTAAAACAGCTCTTAATAAACACACAATATTTCTTTAAAGTCTCTTTTTTCCCTTAAAAATTTATGTGAGTTTTATATTCTAGTCCAAAATGTACCTGTATTTTTTTCCATCATAAAAACAAGGTAGCCCCTACCTCAACCCATTCAAGTAAAATTAACTTTCCATAAACTTGCTTCGTGTTTGACCTGCCTTTCACAATTTCCCTTACACAATAATACAGGGCCCCAGGGTATCAGAATCCCAGTTAAACACAATTCTATACCTATAATTTGTTTTCTTACTTCCTTTTACCTCCTCTGCACATTTAAGTCAGTGGAGAAAGATGAGGTGATAATTCTACTTCTCCTGAACATTTTAGCCTAAACCTAAAACCTGAAAGAACAGAACATCCCAGAATACTGACAACTGCCTATCCAACATTTATTCTCTGCCATGTCCTTCTTCCTAAGGGAACCCCAATTTTCTTAAAGTTCTCTATCCTTTTCTATGCATCCAAATGGTTGAGGAATGGCCTCAACTCCATCCACAGGGGAAGAGTTCCCAATGGTCTAAGCCAATCACTTTGCTGTAACTGCTTTAGTGATAATTCTGGCCAATGAGATGTGAAAGAAAGTCTGTTGTGGGGCTTCTGGCGAAGATTCCTTGCTCTCTTAAAGAGACAGCAGAAATGGTCTGTTTTTGTTTCTGGACTTTTTGCAGGGGAAGAGGGCTGGTGAGATCTAAAACTGCTTTTGCCATCTTGTGATCACAAAGAGAACTAGCCAGAGGAAAAGGGTAACATACAGAGGAGGACAGAGCCAAGAGAAGACCCAGACACCCCGATCATGCTGCGCATGAACTGCTCTATCTTTAAGAGTTTTTATGTGAAGTAGTAAATGTCTTTATTGTTGCAGCCACCTGAGTCAGGGTTTTCTGTTTCTTGCAATGGAAAGCATCCTAGCTGATACCATCTTTCATTCACTTGGCAGATCACCTCTCTACTCAACCTTCTATTCTTCTGTCTCCCTACAGCACAAAAACCCTATTTAGAACTGGTACTATTTTAGCAATCCAAGGAAATAAAGGAAGAGGGAACTGTTAAAAGAATAATTTCCTAAATAATTTTGTAATGCCAACAGGGTAGTAAATAAATATTAGGACCCTCAAGATGACTTAAGGTTGACAGATCATCAATATGCAAGAAAATGTATTGAGCACTTGCTACGTATTAAAAACAGTGCTGGAAGCTTTATGTATATTTCATATTTAATCCTCATGACAACCCTCTATTATCTACCTAGCATAAACAAGAAAAGTGAGGCTATAAATAAGTTGCCAAAAGTCATATATAACTGATAAGTGGAGAAGGTAGCTTTTGAAACTAGTCAGGCTGGCTCTAACGCCCAATACTTCTTCCTTCTTTGGATTTTTAAACTGTCTGGAAAATAGGTAGAGACACATGCAGTGAGGCTGAATTAACTTTGAGTATTCCAAATACAGTCTCAAACAAAAAACATTTGTGGATAAATTGAGACAAAATTTTCTTTGAAGAAGTAAATTTGAATTTAAATTGTTTTTTGACTTTGCTTAAAGTGAAATCAACAGAAAGTTAATCAATAGAAGACATGAAGAGGTAAATCAGGGATACTAAACAGTTAACAAGAAACAGGGTTAGAAACGTAGAGGATTACTACGTTATAAAACCGATATCCTTCATAATGTATATTTTCAAAAGAAGTAAATACACACAGACATAATTTCAGTGTTACTAGACTTTTTGGAGTCAGCTTACAGGACTTCAATAGCCATACAAAGGAATTTTTAGTACAGCCAAATACATTTAATACATTTGTACACACCTGTTTGTGATGAGCCGAGAATTAACGTATCTATACTCTCCTTCAAGCTTTTGCTCAGTTATTGTCATCTTACCAATGGGTCTTCTAATTCGAGTTAGGAAGAGCCCAGAAACAAGCAAGTAGGCCATCATGCTTGCTGGGCCCTGTTATTATTGGGAGAGAAAGATATACAAAGGTCAAGGATATAATAAATTCACTGAATGCAACACACACAATTTATTATAATTAACTCCAGTTACTCTGAGAGAAATTTACTCTTTTGACTAATTTTTTCCCTTAATTGTTTCTTTTCTGAGAAATTACACACTGGGTCTTCTTTGTTTTTACTACTCACCTACTCCTCCTCCCACAACTCTTTCCCCAGCTCTCCCAAATTTGCTCACTTAAAAACTCCTAATTGTAGTCCTCACTCTTTCTTTTACAGCACCTAAAACTCTTCTGATGGAACTCTTCTCGACACTCTTAATTCCACAACAACTCGCAAAACTTTTTTTTGCCTTCTCTTTGAATGTTAATACTCCCTGAGGTTTCCTATTTCACTCCCTTCTCCTCCCAAATTTATACCTCTAATCCCATCACTCTTTAAGAATCCAAGATGTTATTTCCAAATACTTAACTGTACATCTGAAGCTTACTACTCTGTAGAACCTCAAGCTCAATTCCCCCAAATGAGCTCAATCTGCCTTTCCCTTCTCCTGTGTCTTGCTTCTAGCTGCCGTACTTTCTAATGTGGTAACGTACCTCATCACGCATTGACCCTTCTAAGAGAGAAGCTTCAAGCTTGCCTTTCCAAGCTCATCGAAGGTACTTCCCTCATTCCCATATATATACCCTATGTTCTGCCATACTGAAATAACTGTTTCCTGAACGTGCCTTTCCATGAAGTTGTTCTTATGTCTGGCAAGCCTGACATGTCTAATGGAGGCCTACTCATCATCCTCAAAGCAGTGCAAATATCACCTCCAATTCTTCTGGACAATAAATACATTTCCACACTTGCATTACTGGGCTTATCACTTATTACAATTGTCTGAATACCTACCCTTTCACCAGATCATAATCCCTCTTGAGTAGGAACTGTGTCTTACTCATCTTTTTATTCAGACAGTGTGTATGGAATATAGTATGTATTATTTTTAAATTCAATATGATTGATTCAATGCATTTCAACAATTACTAGAAGTATGGGCAAAAGAGATAACTAAAACATAGTTTCTACCTAAGAAATACAAAATCAGAAAATAAGAACACATGGAGATATATTTAAATATAAACATAATACTTAAGTATTATAAACATGTAATAAGTACCATCAAAATATTACAATATACCGATAAAAAGGTATTAAGCCTATTCACTTGTTTACAGTAAAAACAAGTTTTAAGAATGATTAAACCTGGCTTACGGGGTATCAAAAGGTTAGGAAGATAGACAAGAAAATTAAAATAAAAAACTGCTTTCCCCAATGTTTTGGAACAGAACAAAAATCACTACATAAATTATTTATTAATCAACTACAGAAAGTATATACATACACATGTACATATACACATAAAACAACCACACTATTATATGATGGTTATAAATATATAACAATAATACTACATATTAAATGACTAAAGTTAGACTTCAACGAGAATACTCAGAATATAAAGGTAATTCTTACTATCACAAATGTCAGAGAAATACCTAATAAGGCTCATGGGATAGTCAACCATTTATATTATTATAAAATATTCTTGAAACTGTTATGGCCACTCTAAAAGTATTTAAACATTCAAATTTCATAGTAAAATAGCTATCTCCAAATTTCTTTTTAGACATTACTTTGCAACAATAAATACATGTATGTTCAATGTTTAAGCACTTCTGGTTGTTAAAGCCACAAAAATTTTCCAAGTGTCTGGCTTAAGCAAAATTAAAAAGCTAAATTAGAAAACTTTAAAAATCTCTAGTACAGTATTATTTTATAACCAGACTTTATTAGCTACACTTGTAAAAAATACATTCTTTGAGATACATAAAAATTCTTACAAACCATCCAGCTATTCACAGCACAGTACTGTAGCCATTTAAAAGACAGAATGAAAGTAAACTTACCTGAGCTCCTATTGCACTTGTTAACTTGAAGATATACAAAACTATGTCTAAAAATGGCTGTAAAATAAACATCAGAAGGTTCAGAATTAAAAAGAACTAGATTGCCTAGACTGATAGCCAATAAACATGTTAAATACAAAATGCTATTCGACATTTAACACATAATTGTCAACATGCAGAGTTCCCACTATGTATAATGTACTGTAACAGTATGCAGCTCAATGAATACATAAAAGACACAGTTCTTACTCTCAAGAAACTCAAAATGGAGACAGCCTGACCAATGTCTACTGACCATCAACTGGGAAAAGTATCTACCACTTTCCATCAACTAAGGTAGCTCTACTGTGATAATTAGCCATTACTTACTTAGCAATTTCTCAATGTAGTATAAAGACACTGAATAAAATGACCTGAGTTTTAACCCCAAATCTACTAACAGCTTTTCTGGTTTCTATATATCTTCACCTGAAAAATGAGAGACTCTTTCTGCTCTTAACGTTGTCTGATTTTATCACAACATCTATATGTTGAAATATGGTGAGTGAGCTTATGAATCTCATCTTCTGACCTAAAACTCAAGCTCCTAGAACTAAAATAATACATTAATGTACTGCTCCTCACACAGAGACAACTCAACTGACATACCAAAAGCTGTACATATTTTGAACTGTTTTTCAAGAAACCCAAACTGTGTTCATTTACTTTAAGTCCATAGCCACTCCTTTCTGACTATATTAGGATAGGTGGCTTCATTTATTAATTGGCTTGTACTAAGATGAGCCTTTTCTTTCTTGTCTTACGAATTATCAAGAAGTTAGATATATTTAGACATATACTTAGATATATAAAATTCAAGTACCCTTAAGTTACTGACAAAAATAATGACTCAATTTAAGTCAGAGTTCAAACAATCAGATATTTTATAAACTAAATATACTGTCGTATATAGCACCACTACAATCAATTAATTTGATAATATTTTTCTTTACTACAGCTGTGACAAGTCCTGAGCTATGGACTTACTCAAGTGCCAAGATGTAATGAAGAATACACAACAATGTCTACAGAATTACACGAAAAATATTATATACAGCACCTCCCCCCTACACACACACACACAGAGAACAAACTAAAATGTGGTGATGGGTGGAGGGAAAAAAGCAGCTGAATTACTGAACAACTTGCAGCTGTCTGAGTTTCTAGAGTTTGGATCAGTAAAGACTTAAAGAGAGCTAAATAAAGAACAAAGTTTGGCATGAAGTGAAAAGGTGTCCTAGCAGTGGGCCTATCAAGAGGGATACAGATCGCTTTTCTTAGAACTGCCTATCCTCCTTCCATCCACATGGTTGAAATGGGAGCATTCCTATTCTTACAATGTGACCCAGCCCCTTATGGTATATAGTTTTTTGTCTCAAGACTGGATATTTGGATCAATTGTGGTCAGAGGCAAGATACTACAAATGGTCCAATTTGAGACAAGCTCCAACCACAAACCAAGAGCAGTCATGTGGACTGGATGGGAAATGGGGCATCTAAGATGAAGAGTGGCGGGGGAAATGCTGGGCAGACAGTCTTATAGATGCCCTCTACATGTGCTAGCCAACGCAGGAGGTAATGGCAAAGAAGATGGCTTAATGAGAAGACCACAGCAAAAAACTGTAAGGGTGGTGAGATAAGAAGAGGAAGTAAGAGCTGACATAATCAGCAGGAAGAAAACTAGTTAAGGTCAGAGTCAAAAGCTTTGGCAATATTCTGGAAAGGGGGGAAAAACAGTAATTAGAGAAAATTAGAAATGTACTAGTATCTTGTGAAAATTTTTTGACTATTACTTAAATGATCTATTAGAGATACTGAAGCAGAGAATTGGGCAAGAATATGTCCTAGCCTAGGGTTATGAATGTAGAACTAAAAATACATTGACCATGAATTTCTAACAACTGCCAGAAGTACACAGGTCAAGAGATAAAAATCCAAGTTTCTGTCGTTTTACTGAAACCAGCCTGCAAAGTTCTTATAACATCTTTATAAGACACTAAATTCTCAGTTCTTGGCCAAAGCACCTCACATCAATAATATAAAAAATTAAGTAACTGTAGTTAAAACTATTATAACAACTCTATAACTTTCCTATAAAAGCATTAAATACTTATATGCTGCTGTTATGTGCATCAAATCAATTCCATATAAATTTGCTTAGATTCAAAGATAAGCAAATTAACAACAATAAAAATAGAAAAACTTACCTTACTAAGATTTGAATACAGATCAACTACACTGTTACAAAACTTTTCTACATCTTGTGTAAGCAGCTGGTCTGGATTAGCTATTCTGTTGTCCAGATTTCCCATTTTATAATACGTGAAAGTTCTAAAATAACAATAAGAAGATGACTTTAAAACAAATGATTTTAAAAACAAAAAAATTCACATTATACTATGTAGTGCAAATTCATAGAAACAGAAAAATCTGGAGCTGGAAAAGACCCTAAAGATTGTCCTAATTTATTTTAGAGATGCAGATGCAAGTCTGGAGAAGGATCACTGGCCAATTAATGGAAGAGCCAGGATTAGATTCCAAATAGCTGATGTCTTTCTCTATATTCTTCTGGGTCTAAGAGCAATCCTCTTGAAAAACATATCAAATAAAAAAGAAAAACTTCGACATCTCAATATCATAAGTATTATTGTTTAAGTATTTTTAATATAAAAATAGGTTTATTACTTACTGGAGATACTCCTCATAGAGGTACTTAGTTAGTCTTACTCGGAAGCACAGTTTGAGCTCATTTAACCCAAACTTCAAGAAGTTATTAACCAGAGAAATCTAAAACAAACAAACACATATTATTGGTTTTGCTTCATTTCTACTTACTAAATTGTAATTTATTTCCCTATCATTGATTTTGTCTCCAAATCCTATAAATTTTTTATAACTGATAGTACAAATTGATATAATTCAGTTCTGTTTTACTAAACATTTCCAAAGACACAAAGAGAACATGCTAAATCAAATGCAATTAGCTATACTACCCTTTACTTGGAAATTAATTTTAGAATATATTAATATTATTAATCATGAGAAGCACCTTGTTACCTTTTTAATTTTTTTGGGGGGGGAGGGAGATATAAACAAGCCAAAGAGCAAATCTGTCACCTTTCTATCCAGTGTAAAGAACTTACTTTAGGAGTACTGACATTTATGCTTAGTATATCTTCTCTTTCCTGCTACCAGCACTACAACCCTAGACAACGGAACTCTATACCCACTGTATTTGCATTTGTTAAAAAAATTACTACAAGTTTTATACCAACTAATGCCATCTTCTAGATTATTTCTGGAGTCAACTTTACTACTCTTTTCCACCACTATATTAAAATTAATTCTTCCATAGTTCTGAGGTCACATTTATATAAAAATTTTCTCAAGGAAACACTGGTCTTCTGCTGAATCTCCATCTTTGATTGACATCAATGCTGCTTTTCTCAATTTTCTATTTTAAAAGGTCTTCCATGTATGTCTATCCTCAAGCTTTATTAAATCTGACATATGTTCTAATTAATTAAGTTCTATAATTAAGCTCCTCCCTTTTACTCCCACACATACAATACTAAAATTCTTATCGTGCCGATAAAATAGAATAAAGGTAAGACTCAAGCTAAGAAAACTACTTATGATTTGGACCACTTAACGTTTATATTTAGTAAATTCGGACAATAAATTCCAATTAAATTACATTACATTACGTTAGTGGTTCAAGTTACTGTAACAGTTTATGGCCTACAGCAATGATTCTCACCCAGGATTTCTGCCCTCAGCTCACTGCCCCACAACCTCACCTTAGCCCCCCACAGGCCACTTGGCAATGTCTGGAGACACTGAAGACATTTTTTTTGTTGTCACAACTGGGGGAGGGGTACTATTTCCATCTAGTGTGATGTTACTAAATATCTGAGAAACCCTGGCCTAATGGTCAAAGAAAAAATCATCTACACTTGTATACACCTACATATGTATGCAGAGAAACTGATCCAAACATAATTCCTTTAAATTTTTCTATCTAGTGTAAAGGTTTGCGCACTGAAAAACTCCACTATAAGTTACAAAACTAAACTTGAAAAAACTTAGTATATAAATCTTCAAAGAACTTAATAAGTAAAAATCCTAAAAGATTTCAGTAAGATGCAATTTTTTCCCTATGTAAAAATCTTTAAAGAATTAACACTTACGAGAGGCATGGCAGCGATGAAGTTGAATAAGTATTTCTTGAAATCTTTTCTGCTACGACCAATGATACCACTGCAAACCACCACATGCAATGCATTAGTTGCAAAAGAAGCAATATTTAACACTAAAAAAACTTCTCTACATCTCTAAAGCTATTTTTGGAAATTTTCATTGAATCAAATGAATCAATAAGAAAAAAGATGCTAAAAACATTTTCTTACAAAAACATTAACTTTTGAAATTTTGTCATTTTAAACAGCTTGCTTGGAAATCACTCTACAAACGGCAAAATTAAATAAGAATGATAGCTAGTTCTTTCCTTCGTAAAAATGGTAATTAAACAGCAGGCTTGGGCTTCCCTGGTGGCGCAGTGGTTGAGAGTCCGCCTGCCGATGCAGAGGACGCAGGTTCGTGCCCCGGTCCGGGAGGATTCCACATGCTGCAGAGCAGCTGGGCCCATGAGCCATGGCCGCTGGGCCTGCGCGTCCGGAGCCTGTGCTCCGCAACGGGAGAGGCCGCAACAGTGAGAGGCCCGTGTACCGCAAAAACAAAACAAACAAAAAAAAACCCAGCAGGCTTATACTTAAGCAGTCACAAAAGGATTCTTTTTTTTTTTTTGTTTTTGCTGTACGCGTGCCTCTCACTGCTGTGGCCTCTCCCGCTGCGGAGCACAGGCTCAGGACGCGCAGGCTCAGCGGCCATGGCTCACGGGCCCAGCCGCTCCGCGGCATGTGGGATCCCCCCGGACCGGGGCACGAACCCGCGTCCCCTGCATCCGCAGGCGGACTCCCAACCACTGCGCCACCAGGGAAGCCCCCACAAAAGGGGTTTTATATGATGAAACAATTAACAACTTTATAGACCCAGGAATGGATTACTGTGGATAAAACAAAGTACTATTTCTTTGTTTGCCTTTAGATATTTTAACATCCTGTCATTTGTATGAACTAATGGCAAGGAGACAGACTAATGACAGATGAGCAAATTCTTACTATAAAGGGCCAAGAGCAACCATTTTAAGCTTTGTGGGCCATAAGGTCTCCGTTGCAACTACTCAATTCTGCTATTGTATAGCTAAAACAGCTAAGAATGAGATTGACTGTGGTCCTAAGAAAATTTTACCAAAAAAGATGGCAGTGGGATTTCAATGAAACCAGATCTTTTATCTATTTTTAATCTATTTTAAATATTTATCTGTTTTTAAAATATCCACTAAGAACTTATTTAAAGGGTTCCACTACTTTTTTAAAAAGCTAGAAAGCCATTATATCATTATAAGTAAAGGATCTCTGACTACCAAACGTCTGTGGTCTAGTGCAAAGATAATGTTAATATTCCCAGAAGTAAATTAACCATATTTTGAAAAACAATGCGCTAAATGATTCAAACCTAGCTCTACACAAAAAAATGACTGGTATACATACTGATAAATAATTTCTTTTTATGAGGGAGTAGATGAATAATGCCAAATAATATGAACTGATCTTTTAGAGCAAAAAAGTTCCATGGTCAAATAAATTTGCAAAAACCTGAGTTAACGCTAACAAATGTCTTTACCAAAGGCCCTCTCAAAGCTCTAATGTATAATATGCATTGTAAAACTCTCTGAGAGGGCTTTGTCGCACTAGCATTTCCTCCATCATTGCTAAGATTCCAAAGAACATACTTTGGGAAATGTTACTCTAGACCGATAGAAAAATTAATAGTCCAATTTTGACATAGCTGCTAAAAAGTGTTAAAAAAAATTTTTTTTAAAGCTGAACTAGAAAAAAGTTAAACTAGAGCCACACAAAAATGTTGTTTACAGCAATAAGAATATTAGAGACAAAAAGTAATTAAGTACAAAAGTTTAGAGGTTTAAATTAAAATTATTTGAACCAAACTTTACATAAAACCAAAGTGCTTTAGTGCTGCCCAAGCTGTGAAACACACAAGATTATCAAACTTTGGTAAAGCACATGCCATCATTCAGCAATGGTTTACCACTGGAGTAGCAGCTACAAATTTAAAAAATGGTTTCTTGAATAAAGCTTTATTTCTGCTTATTATCCCGCTGCAAAAGAAAAATAATCATCAATAAAGTAATTTTAGAGTAGTCCCAATCATAGTTACTTCTAAAACATACAGGAATCTTAAGATAGTTTGGTAATTTTAAAATGCTACTTATAGCCAAGCGGTTAAAAATAAAATATATATTTATGATTACATACGGCAGTATAGGGGAACAAACTTTGCCACCCCAAAACGTGTTTCTTTGGCATAAGGATTACTTTAGGCTGATTATTTTTAAGAAACAGAAGCCTCAGGAAGTCTTTCTTTTTGCCTCCCCCTTAGCTGCCTAAAGAATTTAGATAAAAGGGCCTGCTCCCAGAATAGAGCTATGACCAGAGATATCTGCAAAGCATATGGGCTAAGCGTGTGTGGGGAAAGTAGGCAGGACCTAGAGATCAGAGTCCACGCTGTGTCCCAGAGTCTCCACGTAGCCCAGCAAACAGTTGTTTACCAAACATTTGCTTTTCCATCTTCATGTGAATTGCCTTCCTCCCCTGTGAAGTCCCAAACCCCTACCCCCAACATCCTCTCTGTTGTTAGCTGAAGATGGTATTCAACATGAGGGCTTCGGCTATTCTGGCAAGTTACTAAGTTCTCCTGGGTCTCTCCCATGTACACATGTTATTAAACTTTTGTTTGATTTTCTCCTGTTAATCTGTCTCACACCCATTTAATTCTTAGACCAGCCAGAAGAACCTAGAAGGGCAGAGGGGAATTTCTTCCTCCCCAGCAGCAGCAAAAAGATATGAAATATTACCTTCCATATCATAGAACTGCCAGTTTCTACCTTAAAGAAGGGGTCTGCCCTATTAAAATCTGCCCCATTCCGAAGTCATTAGTCACTGCTAACAAGTAAGCCTAAAAGATGTAACGGATATTAAAATTAAGTACATTAAGGACCATAACAAGTCTCTTTGTGACTCTATTTTAGCAGAAGAACATAAATCTAAACATACTTTGCAAGAGGCAAAATGGAAAAGACAAAGTTTATGATGTAGCTTTAGTAGCAAGTTAGAGAAATGTGTTAATTTTTCAAATAAAACTGTTCTATATTATGAATTCACAATATTTTAAAACTTTTAATTTGACCAAATATCAAAAGATCTCATGCACAGCAGAAGCTCAAAAATCTTTATTCAGGAGAAAATAAACAATTAACTTTTGTTTTTGTTTTTTTGGGGGAGGAGCAGAGAAAGGTTTATTGCAGGGCCAAGCAAGGAGAACAGGTGGCTCGTGCTCAAAAAAAACCCAAACTCAACAATTAACTTTATTTATTTATTTATTTTGGCCACACTGCACAGTATGCGGGATCTTCCCTGACCAGGGATTGAACTCATGCCCCCCGCAATGGAAGTGCACAGTCTTAACCACTGGACTGTCAAGGAAGTCCTCAACAATTAATTTTTAAATGACTGCTTCAGGGATTTCCCTGGTAGTGCAGTGGTTGAGAATCCACCTGCCAATGCAGGGGACATGGGTTCGATCCCTGGTCCGGGAAGATGCCACATGCCGCAGAGCAGCTAAGCTCGTGTGCCACAAGTACTGAGCCTGTGCTCTAGAGCCTGCGAGCTATAACTATTGAGCCCACGTGCCGCAACTACTGAAGCCCATGCACTCTAGGGCCTGCGTGCTGTAACTACTGAGCCCACTTGCTGCAACTACTGAAGCCCACACACCTAGAGTCTGTGCTCCACAACAAGAGAAACGACCGCAATGAGAAGCCCGCGCACCACAACAAAGAGTAGCCCCTGCTCGCCGCAACTAGAGAAAGCCCACACGCAGCAACGAAGACCTAATGCAGCCAATAAACAGACAAACAAATAAATAAAATGACTGCTTCAGAATCGTGAATTTGGGTTAAGAGTATAAGGAAGCTCCCTGTACTATTCTTGCAGCTTTTCTGCAAGTTTAAATTATGTCAAAATAATGTTTCTTAAAAACTCTTAAAATTTTTGTTTTTTTAATTTTTTTCTACATCTCATAACTGAATTTTAAGGCTGAGTACCCAACAAGTTGATTAGTCTAGTAGAATTATAAGTTGGCTCATGCTACATAATAACTTTCCTCTTATCCATCATTACCAATTAAATTAATGCACCACATACTCTTAGTGATGGATTTTCTCTAGAGCATTCAGTCTTTGAGAAAATTAAAATAAGCACCTATTTAATTAAAGTTGGAAATCCCTAGCTTAGAAAATTAAATATTATTCTTTTAGGTTACAAAAACATGAAATCACAAAATATGAATAAAAGGGAAAAAACTTTAAAAGATAATCTTCTATACTATACCATGATTGTACAGGGTTCTTTATATGTATCATGTGACTGACTGTACACAGATATCTAATATAATGTTATTCACAGTGGATGTAACCTGTTATTTTTGTCACAGGTAATTAATAACACTACAGTTGGGGAGCCTGTATTTTTATTAACAGATACGGCATTTAAATAATAAGTAAAGCCATCAAAGGAAAAAAATATAAAATTCTATAATCATGTAAAAGGACTTACATGTCTTCTCTATATTAATCATACAAATGACTCAACTTACTTGTACACAAAGCTCATAGAAAGAGAACTTAACAAAACTGATCCTGCTAAAGCTGATGTGCTAGCAGCAATGAACAAACACTTCAATTACTCATGCTTAACTTCTTAGAATTCCTTAGAGGATTCCTCACTGGGGCACAAACACACAAAACTGACCAGACTCCCCCTACAAATTCCTTTCAGGGAAACCAGACAATCAACAATCCCACAACTTGGCTTCTAGCAAGTTAAATATGAATACACAGCCGAGAGTGACTGCTTAAGGAAAGCTCTAAACTGAATGACAAAGATCAGAACAACAAAGGACACTGAAAGTCACAGACTTGAAAGAATGACTGCTACAAAAATGAACATTCATACAAAAAGATAGCTCCTGGAAATAAAATTAAAACAAATAAAAATTCACTGGATGATAAAGTTAAAAGAAATCTCCTAGAATATAATATAAAATGTCAGAGATGTAAACAGTAGAGAAATTATAGTCAGAAGATCAGTCCAGGAAGTCCAACACTCAACTAAGATTCCAGAAAAAGTATAGAAAACACTGGAGAGGAAGAACTTTTTTAAAAACACAAGAAAATTTAATTCTTCAGAATGAAGAATGAGTTTCTAGATTGAAAAGAGCCCACCTAGTGCCTAGCACAAACACACGGAATGAAAAAAAATTCACACCAACATTCAGTGAAATTCCCATAACACCAGCAATACAACATCAACAATAAAGAAATAATAAAAGCTTCCAAAGCAGGTAAAAGAAGATCCGCTGCTAAGGGCGGGCAATCAGCACAGGAATGGGACTCAACACCAAATGTGGAAGCTAGATCAGTAGTTTTTAACCTTGGCTGGGATCAAGGTTAGGATCACCTGGGATGCTTCAAAAAGTAATGATTGATTGAATCATTAGTAGGTCTCAAAATTCCCCAGATGATTCTAATTATACTGCAGCCAAGGTTGAGACCCACAGAGCCCTACAGAAGACAACAGGGTGATGCTTTCCAAATTCTGAAAAAAATTGATTTCCAATTTAGAATGAATAAATACAGCTAAATTATCAATCAAGTGTGAGAGAAGAAGACTTTATCAGACCCACAAGGTCTCAAAATTTTACTTCCCTTGTAACCTTTTCTCAGAAAAAGACTGCATCTGCCAAAATGAGAGAGTAAACTGAGGAAGAGGAAAACAAAAGATCCAGAACATAGGAGTTATTTAATGCAGGAAAGAAAGATGAAAAAAATTCTTAAGATCACGATAAAAGTAAATTCAAACATGACTGCTATTTAGTGAAGCTAAAGCACAATCAATCCTAATGAGGGCTGGAGGACAGAAAAGTAACAAGAGGTATGAGGTGGTAATAGATAAAAATCAGTAAGTTATCTAGTGTGTTTGACATATTACAATACTGAGATTTTTTTTTTTTTTTTTTTTTTGCGGTACACGGGCCTCTCACTGTTGTGGCCTCTCCCGTTGCGGAGTACAGGCTCCGGACGCGCAGGCTCAGCGGCCATGGCTCACGGGCCTAGCTGCTCCGCGGCATGTGCGATCTTCCTGGTCCGGGGCACGAACCCGTGTCCCCTGCATCGGCAGGCGGACTCTCAACCACTGCGCCACCAGGGAAGCCCCCAAATACTGAGATTTTATAGTGTTGTCAATAAGCTTGAGCTGAATTAGTAAGAAGTAGGCAAAAAATTAATGTGCACAAAAACCTGCAATTTATAAATGCCGGGAAAAGAAGTTGTATATAAAAGAAACTACCAAAGAAGAGCATTTGGCTCAGCTGTAAACAAAGTCAAAATCATGTAAACAATAAATTCTGATTTAACAAAAAATTGTGATATAACATTGAGAGAATGAGCACAGACATGGGTAGGAGTGGAAAAGAGCTAATTCTCATCTTCCAAAAGAGAAATAAATACACGCATAGTCTCTAAGACTGAAAAATCTAGAGACAGTAACATAAGTGTGTTACAATGAAATGCAGAGACAAAATAAGAGATGAAACAGTAAAAAGAACAGAAGACAACTGGCTCCAGGAATGACAGTTACAGGTGGGAGGAATGGGGCACAGAACTAATGTTTTTGTGATTAAGTCCTGTATGGCTATTTGATATTAAACTATATTCATGTTTTACTTTTTAAGCTTTTCATATATTACTTTGATTGAAATAAAAAGGCATGGCACTGACCGAAGGATTCAGGGCGCCCTGAATTGAATATTGGCGTCTGTACCATTTACACATATTCAGAGGCACGTGGTCGGGGCTTTAATCCTATGCAGATAACCTTCTTTGTTCTTCTAGAGAGATGAGTCAGAAAACACCTGCATAAAGCATTCTGCCTCTCCTACAAATCCTCTAAGCCACACACAAATCAAGGATGTCAGAAAAAAACTTACAAAATTTGGGAGCATTTAAAAATTTTAAGTACTGTCATTCAAACAGTTACGTTATACTAAGTACTTTAAGAAATTTTCTGATAAAATACTGCATGCCAGGAAACAAAATTCCAAGAAAAAATTTTTTACTGACATTCAAATCGGTATCATGAGGAATAAATCCTTTATTAACAGATAAATGTTAATATCCCAACTGTTTTTTTGTTTTTAAATTCCAAATCATCAATTGCAGTGATTAATACATGTACAAAGACTATAATGAAAAAATATATAAAGCACTAACTTCAGAAACTGAAGAAAATGTCTAAGAATTTTTTTCTGTTTAATAAACATTCTCAACATGATTCCCTGAAATGCTTTGATATTTTCCTCAAATTATCTCATTAATTTCAGACATCCAGCTTGGTGACTTTTTAAGTTCCCACTACAGCATTTATTATACTGCATATTAATTTTCTTTCTTTCTTTCTTTCTTTTTGGCTGTGCCCCGGGGGCATGCGATATCTTAGTTCCCCAACTAGGGATCGGACCTGTGCCCCCTACAGTGGAAGCGTGGAGTCTTAACCACTGGACCGCCAGGGAAGTCCCATAATTTTCTGTTTACTTGTCTCTGACCCTCTATAAACGGCCAGCTCTGCAGGGCTTGGTACAGGGTCTCTCCTGTTCGCTCATGGGTACATCCCTATCACTGCCTGTGGCACAAGGGAGACAATAAATATCTACTAAGTAAATGAACAAAGACATAATTTGACTTAAGTATTTATACCTAACTTAGAATCTATTTCTTGCTTAAAATAACACTTAAATATGACACAAATTAGTATTTCATACATACAGGACGAAGATGAAAAGTACCTTTCAATGAGTGTCCCGTTCTGAATCATCCAAACATCACAATATGTTCGAGACACCAGCATAACAGCAATAAGTATCAAGTAACCTGTCTAAAATAAACCAGGTACAGTAAATTAATTAAATGCATTTTAGAAAGTTAAAAGAAACATTACTTTGGTAAAGATTTTTGGTTTCTAAATTCAAAGCTTTATTCTAGCTTTAATGTAGTTGGCTGACATTTTACCTACAGGTTATTTTTAAATATAATTTTGAAAGAAGTTTAAAATATAATGTAAATGGAAAAGGCCTTACAGATCATTTAATCTAATTTTTCATCCAGATTCAAAAGCGAATCCCAGGCAGGTCAAATGACTTGTCTTCATATAATTAGTCAATGACAGAAACCAGCAGTATAACTTAGACTACCTAAATCACAGTGTATTGTGATTGTCCTATGTTTTTAATATACAACTCTAATAAAGAAAAATGACAACTACCAATATACAGTTAAGAACAAATACTGAAGCCTAAAATTTTGCTTAAGTAGAATAAATTTGGTTCTGTTTGTTAGAAAAATCTCTTAACAGTGTCCCTGCCCTTGCAGGGCTTTCAATTTAGTTATTAAGGCAAGATTTACACATAAAATGTAAGAAAACAGACCAGTGTAGGTAAGTATATTTGCATCACTTCACGTGATACGTGGCAGGATCGAAAGGTCTGAGGTAGCAAAAAAGGCTTATGACATTAGAAATACATTAAATAAACCAAGTAAAACAAAGGAGAAAATGAGGATTATGAGTAAAAAAAAAAAAAAAGATGAAAGATTTAATGGAAAATAAAAAATAGATTAAAACCATATGAATTACAGTATTGCACATCCAGCAGAGCTTATAAAACTACTGCAAGCTTTTAGGTAGAACAGAATATTAAAAAGTGTTTACAGAGCATTACTTAAGCAATGCTGGGCAAGATGGATCATCGTGGGGGAGAGGTGAGAGGCTGAGTGGCTGGCTAGGAGTCAATTGTCTTTGTGTGGGATGAAAATCTACCCTCCAGCCTCCAACTGCAACACACACCCATTCAAAGGTGACCTTAAACTTTCTAAATGGGAAAAATATGACAGCAGCATAGAAGCTAAAGTCAGAGAAGAGGGTGTGTGGCAGGGGCAATGTTTGTTGGATAAGGTGTTTGATTTCAAAGTTATGGAATTGAGAGGCAAATGCATCTATGACTTTTGTAATTTTTGCAAAACAAATCTTGTTTTTTAAAAAAAGTGAAGGTACTGAAAATACAGCCCTTAAGTGAAAGACAAGGCAGGGAGTCATAAACACGGAAGTAATAAATGAATCCATAAGAAAGAAGGCAATGTCAAAGAAAGTCTACACAACTGAGTTGTGACAGCTGCTCCCCCAACGTTTGCCAGAGTTGTCCATCAAGGAAGATACCATCTTCCTACCCTCTCCCACCATCTCGAAGTTAGGTATTAAACTGACAACAGAAGAACCTACTGATTTTAATAAATCCTATTTGTAGATGACACTTTAACGGTAATGCTAACTTTTAATTCAGACCTTAAGTACAGCCTCAATCCTAAATTAATCATTTGAGGAATAAAGGTAACATTAGACAAAGATAGTTTATTTTTGCCTTTATTTTATATACTTTGCTTAATTTTTTCTTTAAATAAGTATCAAGTTTATTATCTCATTTAGCAAAATCTGCCGAACTTTGATTATTGACAGTCCTGAAATGCCTTTTTATGCAAAGGCTGTCCTCAGAATCACCATAATTCCATTACTGGGTTCGTAGAATATGTCAGAAACTAAAGATAGGCTTGATTTAGGCAGTCCCTCACCTTATGATACAGATGAACTTCCATATGTTCATATGCAGCATTTTTATTTCATAAATTGATTAAATTAATCTCTCTATCTCTACCTCCTATTATCTGTGATTTCTACTGGAGTTTATTTCACTTTCTTGAACTGGGGTTAAGCCCGGATTTTTATATCCCTCAAAGATGGTTCGTAAAATGGCTCTGTGGCATGGATGCACCTTGACAGAACTGGGAGGTTGGCCAAGTTAGGCCCATCTACCTTCTTACTAACTCCCAGAGATCTATTCAATGTCTCACATTCATTTCATATTCAGCAAACCTCTGCTAAAAGGTTAAATGAACATTAAGCTGTTAACTGATAAGGGGGGGGGGGTAATACACAAATCTTTCCAGAGAAGAAGCTTGTATTTTAAATAAAGATTCTTCAAAGTCAGGTAGATTGTAGAATGAGAAAACAATTAATTATATCCAGAGAGTCACGGGATGCCTTCACAAAGAAGATAAAGAGCATTAAGCTGTTTTTTAAACATATTCGTTTTTGTTGGGGGTGTTGTCACAAACATGGTGTCATGAAAGTACGAGGGCACAAGGCCTGGCTACAAAACAGCAAAGGACCTTCCAAGTAGATGGTATGCAAAGGAAGAGCAAAGTCACGTGATTAACCCTATAGGAGAAAAGAAGCCAAATGTTCTTATTCGGGTTTTAGAAAGAAGACTAGTTAGAAAAGGAGAAGAGATTATAATAATCCAAGCAAGTGAGAACAGTACAAATGGAAAGTAAGGGACTAATCGAAGAGAAACTCAAGGATGCTTGGAAAAAACATTTAAAATATAAGGGACGAAGCAGATTTAAAAAGTGCATTTTCCAATTTTTCTTCAAGAAACACAGGATCTCTATCTAATTAGAAAAAAAACAAATGTTATTAAATTATTTTTTAGAGTCTCTTTTAAGGGCAGAGTCAACAAGACATGACGCTGAAGTGAGAGGAAGGAGAGCAAGTCCAGTGTGATGGAGGAATGTGCCTTTCCTTTGAGAATTATAGTGCTTTTGGAATGTCTTATCCTTTTCCTGCTATCGATAGATTACAAGCCTAAAGCTTTTTAAAATTTGAACAGTGGGAAACAATTATGTTTGAAGAAGACAAACTTGACAGAAAAGATTTAAAAAGGAGAGATTCGGGCTTCCCTGGTGGTGCAGTGGTTGAGAGTCTGCCTGCCGATGCAGGGGACACGGGTTCGTGCCCGGGTCCGGGAAGATCCCACATGCCACGGAGCAGCTGGGCCCGTGAGCCATGGCCGTTGAGCCTGCGCATCTGGAGCCTGTGCTCCGCAACGGGAGAGGCCACAACAGTGAGAGTCCCGCGTACCGCAAAATAAATAAATAAATAAATAAAAAAGGAGAGATTCTTTGAAATGAGACTAATTAAAGAACACTGTAATATCTAGGTAAGAATATTTAGAAAGAAAAATTAGCAGATAGCAGTGACTGAAAGGATGATAGGTAGGCATGGGGAGGAGAAAGAGTCAACAGTGATAATATTTCTAGTTGTACAAAAGGAGAATATTAAGGTAATTAAAGATGGAGAACACAGCATTATGTTATTTTTAATCATTAAAATACTTAATAAATCATGACAAAGATAATCTTGACAAAAGAGTAAATGAAAGAATAACAAAACTTTATTCTTACAACCAGTTCACTTCCTGAAAATACTTGAAGAATTCAGGTATCTTAAAAACATATTTAATCAAATATGAAGAAGCAACTCTCAAACATATTCCATATCAATGCTACTTGTTAACATCGTAATGTAATAAAAAGGTCTTTCTAAATTTAATCTCGTTTGCATTATATTATAATAAAGCAACACCATTTAGGCTGGCCGTACTGAAGTACTCTAGTATTTCACATAAAATATAATAATATTTCATAAACAAGAGAAAATCATTTAAAAACTGGCGCTGAACAACAAGGGTACTTGCATGACAGGCAATGACTTAGACAAAAATTTAGTCTTCATTACCTACAGAGGAGACACTTGACCTGCAGTAGAACAAAGCCTTTATAATTCTATTGTTCTGATCTCACATAAGCTTTAAAGTTGAACACTTAATATTATCGTTTCATAAGACTTACCTCTTTACAAAATGTTCTAGGGACCATGATTTTCAGAATTCGTGTGAGCCTTGAAAAAAACACCTTGTCCACCACAGCTCGTTCTTTTTTCCCCTCTTTCTACATTAAAAAAAAAAAGAAAGAAAGAAAGCTCTTAAAATAGTTATAACAAATTAAAGAACCATGTTTCATCTAAGGCAACATAAACAACTACTAAGATGGATACTGCATTTGAAAAACATAGTCTTGTACTGCTCTTCATATTCAAACATGCTTTCAAGAAACTAAGATGTTACCAAAAACTGAATAAGGAAGTGAGAACTTCCTTTCAGAAGTGAAGCTGCAGAAATAGCTGGAAAAAGAACACTGCAAACAGAAGAAACAACAAATGCCAAGGTAAAAGCTCGTTTAATAACAAAATGGCCAATCTGGCTGGAGCTGTGAGCAAGAGAAAGTAGTAGAAGATGAGGTCAGAGGACAGCTAAGAAATGGCCATTATCCACCTCATTACTGTTTGTTCATCATCCACTTCCTTACTAACAACAGAATTTTAAATAAATCCTGAACAGGAGCTTTCCTGCTATCAATTACAGGAAACTTTTGGATTCCTAGATTTATCATTTAACATTTCTAATATGCACTCTTCCTTACAAATTCAAAGACAGACAAGGTTCCCTCACTCATACAGTTCACATTCTAGCAGGGGAAACCCAGATAAAAATAAACCAATAAATAAACCGTTACAGATAGACTAGGCAGGGTCAAGAGAAAAAGAATGATCCAGAGAAGTATGAGAAGAAAGGTCTCTTTGGGGGAGGGTAGTAAAGCACAGGGAACACCAAGCACAAAACCCAGTTCAGGAATAAAATTGGTATGCACACTGAAGAGCAAGATGACAGTGCTGCTAGAGCAGAGGGGACAAAAGGAGAGAAGCTGAAGAGATGCGCAGGACCTATAAAAAACAGAGCCCTGAAGCCATAGAAGGATTTAGAGTTTACTGTCAGTGTAGAGGGAAACCACTGACGATAATTAAGAGGGGTAAATCATTTTATTACCCTCAGATATTTCTTCATTTTCACTGGCCCAAGAAAATAGAGCTATAAAACCATTTGCAAGGATAAGGAAAGAGTGACACGAACTGGGTATAGTGGACGTTATTTACTTCATTACCCTTGGGCTGTCTGGAAGAACAGGCAGAAGAAACTCCTCAATAGGCAAGACTCTCCAGAAGGACCCCAGCCCCAATTGAGCTCCTTTCCCCAACTCCTATAATCACAGCTCACTTATGTATTAACTACTACGCTCTTGATAAACAAGTACCCATGGTATAGTAAATTCTATTAGTTAGACAAACTTTGCTGTAACTATGCTTTAATTAAATTAATATCTAACTTGATAAACCTTAAGTGAGTTGTTTGTGTACTGAATTAGAATAATAAGCTACCATCCATATGTCACACACTGTGCTAAGGGCTTTATATATGTAATCCTAATAAATAGATACTGCATGTCGTACAGAACTGTAGACAAGAGATGAAGGCACTGGGTGTGTAGAGTTAGATCAGAAAGACTAAGACAGAAAGAACTGGATAAGAACCAACCTACCGTGTAACTGCTGGAACAGAGTTCAGGTCTTTCAAACCGTACAAAGGTTGTAAACCCCATCCCACTGAGTCACAGGCCCAGTCTACTTCATTCACACATGTATGTATTCATTCATTCAATATTTACTTGGCCCAAGGCACTGTTCTAAACCATGGGGACACACCAGTGAACGAAACACAAAATGCCCTACTCACAGTCTATTTACTCTAGCTAGGCTATTCTCCTCAAGCCAAACCTTACAACTTCAACCTAAATATCCCCTTTCACCTCCCCAAACTGAGAAAGTATAGGAAGAAAAGAATAAAGAGAAAGCAATGTACATCAACTACCTTTAAAGAAAGTTAGACTTCTACTCTCGTTTCCCTCCTGTCACTGCCTCCCTACCTCACTTCATCCCACCTGTAGTCAGTACCTTCTCCATCCCTAGCTTGAGCCTTAGACAGAATAATTCCAAGGTGAAACGGCCACCTTCTGACTTAAACAGAGGATAACTATTTCCAGCTGTTCTCAAGAAATGATCTAGGGCAAACAATGAGGAAGGTTTAAAAAAAAGTTATAAGAAAGTAACAACGAAGCACGTCGTATATAATTAGCAGTTTACCTGGTATTAATTTCTCCTCCTCTTTTTCTTCTGTCCCTGTTGTCACTGCTCCTATTTCTTAAGCTGTCTGAAAGCTGACTTTATTATTTTCATTACATTTGAATCCATAAAGGGAACGATATACTTCCTAAAGTCAGGAAACACCAAACATCTGGGCTGGAGGGCTGACTCAGGCTGAAGAAATAATCAAGATGCTGTACCATTCTTTTTTTAAAAAAAAAAACATGGAACGCTTCACGAATCTGCGTGTCATCCTTGCGCACGGGCCATGCTAATCTTCTCTGTATCATTCCAATTTTAGTATATGTGCTGCCGAAGCGAGCACTGTACCATTCTTGATACATAATAAAAGTCATACCTGAAACCAATCTAAATGCAAATACTTACAGAGACAGTACATCTCATAAACACTACTAGCTTCTCCTAAGAATTCATTTTAACCACAATTAACTTTCCCCATCTTTAAACTTCCCAGTAATTTTTTAAAAATATAAAAAATACTTTTATGATATAAATCTAACATGCAAATCATAGGAAAAAAACAACCATTAAAGACCATTTAAGAAGCTAAAGTGATAATGCAGTCAGAAAAAAAAAAAATGTACCTAACATTCAGGAGGCAACAAGGTCAAAGGGCAACGAGAAGTTCCTATTGATGTGTCAATCAACTTAGAAAGGTGACATGAACCAGAACTTACCAGAAAAGACAGATGTTTGAAATAGCAAATAAAAGGTCATGTTGTGCTGACAAAAGTGTAAGCATTTCTGTATATTGTTAGAGGAAGTATAAATCAACATAACTATTATGTTGCATCTATCAAAATATAAAACATACACTCATTGCAAAATGTAAAACAATCCCGCAAATTTACTTTTAGAAACTTATCCTAGAGATATTCCTGAACATATGCTTAAACACATAAATGAAAAAACTTGCACATTGTTTTATAATACTATAAAATTAAAAACCTAAATGTACAGCAATTATGAGATACTACATAAATCATGGTAAATTTATGCAATGAAGATTCTACACAACTGTAAAAAAGGAAGCAGCTCATATTCATACAAGAGAATACTATAGAATGGTTAATTAACTAGATCTATAGCTATCAACATAGATGGATCTTAAAAAAACATTATGCTGAAAAAAAAGGAGAACGATACGTACAATGACTCAATTTATAAAATTTTTCAATAAGCAAAATAATTCTACCTATATTGTTTATGGAGATATACGCACACCCCAAAAGTACAAAAATATGCATGGGAATGCTGAAGACCAAACCCAGCACAGTGCTACCTTTGTATATTTTGAATTTTATACCCTGTGTATTACATCAAAAAGAATAAATATTTTAAAACAAGTCAACTATCTCTTTATACTATTCTCTATCTAAATTTTTTTCTACTTAAATCTAATGTCTTATGAAACTTGTCTCACCTCAACCCATCCCACCAAAGATTATAAAAAATTTCAAGAAAAAATTCTTTTCAATTGCATCCCCTCATAAGTGACACACATTCACTGTCGTAAAATTAGAAAATTCTGATGAGCAAAAATAAGGAGCCTATAGCTACCACTGAGAGACATCAACTGTTAATATTTGGCATATCTCTTACCAAATTTCATTTCAGCATATGTCTGTGTGTGCACTTCCTATAGATTTCACAAATGTGGTATCAGGATGTACACTGCCTTAAACCCTTTTTTTGGCCAACAATTTGATCTAAACTAAATTTATTTTGCTTACACTATATGACTAGCAAACAAGTGTATATATATATTTAAATGTACAAAAAAAATAGGAAGAATTAAAATATGAGTGAATGAATACTGCTGTACTGGATAGTTTCACCGATGTCCTAGAACTTTCAGATACGGTGGTATACAAATAGTAGCTATAACTAAGATAACTAAGGTTTGATTACTCAGGTATAATTTAGATATAAGAGATTATGAAGATGGAAATTTGCCAAATGACTGGAGATAAGCATATCTTGTCCCATTTTTCAAAGATTATGGAAACTGGAGAACAGCAATTTTGATGTCCATCTCCAGGATATTCAGAGAATAGACATTAATATTGAGGGTTTAGGAAGACCTAAGAGACGCTAATCCTTAGAAGCCAGCAGAAGTTTACTAGGAAGAAGTCATGTCAAAGCCTTCTAATTTCCTTCTTTGTTAAGGATACTGTGCTAGTATATTAGCTGACATGCACAACATTAAGCTCCATGAGGGTAGGAATTTCTGTTAACTGCTATACACGCAGAACCAAGAACAATGCCAGGCATATATGAGGGGCTCAATCAATATTTTTTGACAGGCTGACTTAATAAATGAATTAACAAATTAATCAAGGAATTTGACGTTTCTTATAAAACTATTGTGGCCTTAATGGAGAAATAAAGACCAGATTTTTCTGCAGTTGGATATAGTCACAGCTGAATAAACCATAACCAAAAAAACAAAGATTAAGAGATGCCACAGAGGAATTTTCTGGTCCTAACCTAGTCAATACTATCAGCAATTGTGAGGAAGATAGAGAAGACAAATTAAGTTTGTACATAATACCTTCCACTTAACACACTAGATGTTAGAATTATATTCAGAATTATACTAGGGAGTTCCCTGGTGGCCTAGTGGTTAGGATTCCAGGCTTTCACTGCCATGTCCCGGGTTCAATCCCTGGTCAGGGAACTGAGATCCCGCAAGCTGTGCAGTGTGGCCAAAAAGAAAAAAAAGAAAATTAATAGAGTAATAGAATAGACATATTATAGAATAGACTAATAGTATAGACCCTATAGGCTGACATTTACAGGGAAACAACTGAGTTACCATGTGACCTAGCAATTCTACTCCTAAGTATATACCCAAGAGAAATGAAAACATATGTCCACACAAAAACTTGTACATGAATGTTCAATAATTTGGGCATTATTCATAATGACCAAAAGGGGGAAACCACTTAAATTTCCCTCAACTGATGGATAAATACATGTGGTATATCTAAACAATGAAATACTATTCAGCAATAAAAAAGAATGAAATACCGATACATTCAACAATACATATGAACCTTGAAAACATCATGTTAAGTGAAAGAAGCCAGTCACAAAAGGCCACATATTACATGATTCTATTTATATGAAATGTCCAAAATAGGCAAATCAATAGAGCCAGAAAGTAGATCAGTGGTTACCAAGGGCCAGGAGGAGAGGGTAATGAGGAATGACTGCTAATGTGTATGGAATTTCCTTCTGGGGAATTGAAAATTTTCTAAAATTAGATAGTGGTGATGGCTGTACAACTCTGTGAACATACTAAAACCACTGAATTGTACACTTAAATAGATGGATTTTATGGTATATGAATTACATCTCAATAAAACTGTCATTAAAAAAAGAAATAAAGAAATCAACTGATGAATACAGACGTCTGTCAAAAGAGCTGTTCATCAGAAAGACACCTGAAGGCTTACAATTTATCACAAACTCCACTTAATATAAACAGAAGTAATGGCTAAAGAAGTAAAAGCAACTTTAGGCTGAATTTTAGCAACATGATGTTCATATCAAGAAATGTAGTAGTGCTGATGCATTCCACACTAGTCAGACCACGTCTACATTAGACTACATTCTATAGACCACAGACTACATTCTATCCTAAACTTAATGTCTAGAGGAACTAACTAGTATAGATCCAGAGGAATGTATACATAATTTACGAACAATTAGAAACCATGTCACCTGAGAAACACTTGAAGGAATGAGGATTGCTTAGCGGGGGAAAAAGATTCAGAAAATACAACCATCTTCAAACAATATGAGAGTCTGTTAAGAGAAAATAGAGTAAACTTGTCCTGTGTTTCTACAAATGACAAAATAGAGGCTTAGAGAGGGAAGATTAATTCCATCATGGACTTGAACTAATACAGTTATGGCTATCTCCTAGGTAGTACTTTCCATCAAATGAACAGATTCAAGTAAATACGAAAAGTCACCTACCAAGGATTCCTATTTTAGGAAGAATTCCTATAATATGTAGTGGATTAGAGATGATATTTAAGTTCCCTTCTAATTCTTAAATTCCGTGATTTTATCCTAATTCAAAAATATATAATGAAACAAATGAAATAAATGCACGAAATCCCAAAGAGTAGACAACATAAATTTTACCTCATTGTTCCGTAATGGTGGTTTTCCATTTTTCTTACTGCAGAGAAAAAGAAAAAAGAGCAAGACAGCTTTATTTGCAAACTGTTCCCATCATAAAATATTATTTTAAGATATCAAAAGAATATATCAAATTCTCCAAATGAATTTCTTCTTTTACATTTCATACTGAGATAGAATATATTAAATACAATAGTCCAATTGTATAATCCACAGTCCTCTTACTAAGTATAAATCACAAAAAGTGCTCAATAAATGTTAACTACTACTATAATACATCAGGCATTACGTTGTAATTTTTTCATACACACACAACTACACTTATTTTACAAATTCTCCCATGGAGATGCAGAGTCTGTTTTTCCATCCTTGAATCAAGGCTTGGCCAAGATATTAGCAAATTGACACAAGGAAGGCCTTGAAAAACATTTGTGCATTGGGCTCACTCTCTTGCTGCTGGGAATCTTTTCCCAGCCATGTGAGCAATCCCAGGTTAGCTGCCTAAAGGATGGGAGACCATGTGTCATTTCCATGTTACAAATGAAAAAACTGGCTTGGGGGACTTCACTGGCAGCACAGTGGTTAAGAATCCGCCTGCCAATGCAAGGGACACGGGTTCGAGCCCTGGTCTGGGAAGATCCCACATGCCGCGGAGCAACTAAGCCCGTGATCCTGCACTCTAGAGCCCGCTCACCATAACTACTGAGCCCGCTCACCACAATTACTGAAGCCCACGTGCCTAGAGCCCGTGCTCCGCAACAAGAGAAGCCACCGCAATGAGAAGCCCGCACACCGCAACCAAGAGTAGCCCCCGCTCACCGCAACTAGAGAAAGACCCAACGCAGCCAAAAATAAATAAATAAATAAATTTTAAAAAAAGAAAGAAAGAAAAAACTGGCTTGGAAAAGTCAGTACCATGCCCAAGGTTCACGCTACTCAAAGTAGTTAATCTAGCACCCCAAAACAATATAATAACCAGGCTTGGCTTCTTTTTATACACACTACCATAGCACCCTATGCTTCTATATAACATTAATCACATATTAAATCTCTTGTTTAACATATATTTCCTCCCACTATATTAGTTCTATGAGATCAGGAGCTATTGCAGGTTGGCTTCTCCAAAGTAGAGGCGAGGTGGTGTTCAGAGTACAAAATGTTTATTAGAGATCAGTATCTGTGAAAGGAAGGCAAAGAAAGAAAGTTTGGGCAGAACTCAAACTGTGATATAGGCCAACAAAATTTCAGCCAACCAAGTGGGAAGCCCTGAATCAAATACTGTCCATCATAGTGCTCTGTGATGGGATGAAATGGTCAGGTCTTTAAACCTCTTTCTAGCTCAGCATGCAAATGTATGCTGCTCCAGGGAGATCATGACCTTGAGGGAGGTAGCTCTGCAGGTAAGGCAGACCCTAGAGATGTGTGCAGAAGGGGCTACCTGGTAATCCGCACTCCTCATAGCTGGATAGTGAGCCCTTCTTTGAAGGGGAATCTGGGTAGCATATCTCCTTGTCTACTACAGGGGTCATATATTACCCAACCCTGTATGTTCAATACCTAGTTGAGCCACAGCAATCTGTACAGCAATCAGTGAACATTTTCAGTAATAGGATACCACGTCACTGAATAACGCTAGAAAGGCAAACAACTATTGATACAATTCGGTAGATGCTATCATTTTTAAAGTGCTTAGGTTTATTACTGTTTCTAGTTTCAATTATACTGCAGGATTGTTCATCTGTTTTTAAATTTCCATGAGACCGCAAAACTGTTTCACAGAATGCCTTTTATATATATGTTCAAGCATGCACAGTTAATTATGAGCCCCTTTTATAAATAAGGCTTTCTAAATTCCTCTTTTTAAGAATTCTTTAATGTTTCCTCAATTTTGAAGATACCAGCTATATAAATACATATAAATTACTTAGGATAAATGAGAGCAGTATACTATATTTATGAGCTAAATCCATTAAAATAAAAGTATTCAACATGTTCAAAATATATTATCAATATGCACACAAAATGGCGAGGTATCTATAATACCTAGAACAATCACTAAATATCAGTTATCTTGTCACATTTCAGGGTATAACCAACTGAAGTTATTTTTAAATCTAATTTTGTGACTATGTGAATGATAACCTTAAACCAGTCTATTATACCAATATCAATGTCATGTTCAGTCACAAGCTGCTCATCTATCTTCTTCTCACTCAATAAATCAGCACACTTTCCAAAATACGATGGCACTCCTGCATCAATCCTTTTCATTGCCTTGCCCAACATCCAGGCGTGGGCAAAGGCAAGGAAAAGAGAATCGCAGTACCAGGATAAGATATATAAAAGCAACTTGGTTGCTAGAGTATGAAACAAAGGCACACAGAAAAGATACATTATCAAGTGCATGTGGTACTGAAAAGACAGGTAAATTATAAAAGTGACGTGGTCAAGAAGCATTCAAACGTCTACTAATTGCTTACTACATGCTAGACACTATTCTAGATCAGCATTTCTCAAACCTCGTGGTCTCAGGATCCCCAAGAACTTTTATATATTTGTGTTACATGGATATTTATCATATGAAATTTCAACCTCATAAATTTTAAAAATACTTATTTACTCATTTAAAGACAACAAATACATTACATGTTAAATAAAATTTTTATAAAAATAGCTATATTTTCTCAAACAAAATAATTTAGTAAGAAAAGTGGCATTGTTTTTACATTTTGGCAAATCTCCTTTATGTCTGGCTCAATAGACGACAAATGGATTCTCATATCTGAGTCTGTATTCGTTCTATCTACTGCAATTCAGATAGGCAGTTGTAAAACAGTATTCTAATAACTGTGGATATTCTTCTGTGATACTATAATGCTGCAATGCAGTCTGATAATTATATCAATGAACTTGTACTCTGATACAATAAAATTCACTGGTCTATATTATATTACACTTTAAAAAAAAATAAATTTATTTTATTTATTTATTTTTGGCTGTGCTGGGTCTTCGTTGCTGTGCACGAGCTTTCTCTAACTGCGGTGAGCAGGGGCTACTCTTCGTTCCAGTGTGCAGGCTTCTCATTGTGGTGGCTTCTCTGGTTGCGGAGCACGGGCTCTAGGCACATGGGTTTCAGTAGTGGCAGCTTATGGGCTCAGTAGTTGTGGCTCGCGGGCTTAGTTGCTCTGCAGCATGTGGGATCTTGCCAGACCAGAGATGGAACCCGTGTCCCCTGAATTGGCAGGCGGATTCTCAACTACTGTGCCACCAGGGAAGCCCCTATATTACACTTTCAATGGCTCTTTTAACCCACTCGAAATTTTCTAAGATCATGCATTAGTCATTTGGAAAATGCTGGTTCACTGAGTTATATAGTAGGCCTTCCAAATGTAATACATTTTATTATACAATATTTTTTAAATTATATTTGTTAATATTACCACCAACCTCATCAGAAAGGTCTTAAGCGCTGGGAAACTAGCAAGCTCATGGTAGCAGACAAGATTTCCAAATTCTAATTTTCACTTGAAAGCTTAAACTGTAACATTAGCAACAAACATTGCCAGTTGTTTTTCCTTGAAGGCATTACAAGAAAATGTCTGCAACATTCAAGGCTGAATAACCAGAGTTATTCAGTCTTTCTTTCAAGTAAAAATGATGTTCCACCAAAAAAACAAAAAAAAAAAAGTGGCTAGTTCAGTTCACAACTCAAACAACTGCACAGTGCTTTCCCTCAAGACAACCTCTGTATTTGATATGCTACGAGAAGTGCTTCTGCAAATTTCTCGTTTTTCTTTGGCAAAGACATTACAAAAAAGAAAAGACAAGAGCAGTAACCAGCTATAAAAAGTATAGGAAGGTTTTATCCAAGAAATGTAAAGTCAGGTTAACATTTGAGAAAACAAGGTAATTCATCATATTAACAGTCTAAAGAAGAATAAACATATGATCATATCAATAGATACAGAAAAGGCCTATAAAACCTGACACTTACTCATCCTAAGAACTCTCATCAAACTAGAAATAAAAGGAACTTCCTCAGTCTGATAAAGGACATCATCAAACACCTACAACTATCATCATACCAATTAACAAAAGACCGAGTCTCTGTAAGATCTGGGACACTGCAAAGATGCCAACACTCACCACTTTTATTCAATATTGTTACTGAAGGACACAGTGCAATAAAGTAAGCAGAACAAACAAAAGGCACATAGAATGAAAACGAAGAAGTAAAACTATCTTTATTGCAGACTCTATAAACACTATACAGAAAAGCCTAAGGAATCTACAAAAAAGCTAAGTGAGTTCAACTGGTTTCCAGGATACAACATCTATATATAAATACCAATTGTATTTCTACATATGAGTGAAGAACAATTGGAAATTGAAATTTTAAACATACCATTTATAAAAGCATCAAAAATATTAAATACTTAGGGCTAAAATTAAAAAGAAAAAAAAAGACGTGCAAGACTTGCATGCTGAAAACTACAACACATTGCAAAGAAATGTTCATAGAAGACTAGATAGATATATATCATGGTCATGGATCAGAAGACTCAATATTATTAAAGTGTCAATTCTTTCCAAATTGATTTAGAAATACAATGAAATCAAAATCGTACCAGACTTTTCTATAGAGAGTAACAAGTTGAATCTAAAATCTGTACGTAAATGCAAAGGACCTAGAACAATCAATAAATTTTTACAAAGAAGAACAAAGTTGGAGGAATTGCACCTAATTTCAAGGCTTATCATAAAGCTATACTAATCAAGAGTTTGATACTGGAGTATAAACAGAGATCAAAGAAACAGAAAAGTCCAAAGTAGACCTACACATATAAGGTCAATTGATATAAGACAAAAGTGCCATGGCAACTCAATGAGGAAAGGATAATCTTTTAACAAATGGTACTGGATCAACTGGACAGACATTTGCAAAAAAAATCAAAAGGAACCTCAGATGTTATTGCACACCATATACAAAAATTAACCTGTAGTGAAACAGAGACCTAAATGTAAGAGCTAAAACTACAA